CCTAATTAATCACACTGGAAACTACATGGAAACCACGGGCAGTCATCTTGCTACTCACAAGTCGCTCACTTCTGGCCGGCTGCAGTTTGCAGTGCTCACTGGAGCAGAGCACACTCCAGCATGTCCAGAGCAGATCCTGCTGGTGGGGGGCAGGACTGCAGTGGGGAGCAGCCGGGGGGAGCCCCGAGGCAGCTACAGCCCCGGGAGCACATGGAGAACGAGCCCCACACTGACACTCTGCTGACAACACCATGTGGAAACAGCTGTTCTGTCACACGCGTTGTCTCCAGGGGTTTCTACAGAGACTGCTCAGTGCAACGTCACCTCCCTCACGCCAGTATTTTCTGGAGATCAGCATCATCCTCCTCGCTCCCCGTGACACTCTGCTGGGGCAGGTGGAAGGACCCTCCTGGTTTGCTGGCACTGCCCGGCCCCGTTACCAGGTCCCGAGCAGCTCTGGTTTTATGTTGCCCTTGAGAGGAGCCAAAGGAAGACAGAGCAACAGCAGCAGCATGGTTTTCATTTGGAAACTGCTGTTTTCCTGCAGGGTAGGGGGAAACCTCCCCAAACTTCAGAGACTCCCCTAGCCCACAAGAGATTATATTGAAACATTTTCTAAGACGCAGCTGTGGCTAACAGGAGAGGGCAGGCAATGACACTGCTAATCCCAGCACCACACAGCAGGCTGCACTGGACTCCAAGTCTTTCCCAGAGAGGCAGGGAGAGGACTGAACCACGTCAGTAACATCAGAGCCATCCCACGCCCACTGAAGAGGGACTGGAATAAATTATGACCAGGGTGCTTCTGGCACGTTCAAAGCTACCTGCAGACACATTCCCTTCATTCTAGGGGAGGAGATCATTACGAGCTGGATCCCAGAGGCCCTTGGGAAAGTTCCACACGTCCCCTGCAGTCTATAAACTTAACAAGTGCTGGGAGGAGAGGGCAAAAAGCAAAGGCCCAAACCTGCTGTGCCCGAGCACGTGGCTCTGCCTGTGCTGAGGGAGCCCCGGCGAGAGCCGCTCAGCCGCGCCCGCAGCCCGGGCTGCTTGGCCATGACTGGTTGTACTTTCAGGCTGGTGGGTTTTTTGGCTCTGGGTTTGGGGTTTTTTGGTTGTTTGAATGCCAGAATTACCCTCTTAGCAGAGGCAATGTCAAACCAAGAATCCAGTGTGTTATCTCTGGGAATTTAAAAGGGGCTTTTTTTCCCCCCCACCAAGAACCATCATCTGCCACGTAGATCAGCTTCCTCTGACAAACCACTGCTGAGGGCCCCGAGCCTTGGCAGCCTGTAAACCAGCTACAGCTTTACAGCCAAGCAAGCCCTGAACCAGTGAGCTGTGGAAAAGAAGGAATAAAAACTCTGGATTCACCACATACCCTGTTGCAGTAATGGCCCAGCAGCAATAAGTACGAGTCTGACACGTGATATTCTCTCCTGAGACTATCAGAGGTGCTTCTGCTGCAGGCTCCTGAACTCACCTGGAAGAACTGGGTGGAGAGAGGGAAAGTCTCAAGGAGTCCATGTGCAGGAGAAAAAAGCAATCTAAGTCCCAAAAGGAGCTAGTCCTGTGGTCCTGTTTTACCTGCAGGGATACTAGCAGCGAGTAGAAGCCTCCCAGACACTATTACCCATTGCAAGAAACACACAAGCAGATCAGGTGTTAACATTTACTTTTATTTATAAAAAAATTGTAGAATGTATTAAATACAAACATTTGGAAAAAGCAATCGAGGCTTCGCTAAGATGCCCAGGAAGAGGAAGACAGAGAATCAAGAAGCTGACCAGGTTTAGAGTTTTTAAACTAGCTGAAGTCATTACTACAATTTTTCACTGACTTCTTTATAGGCAGCGGCCATTAGAGCAGCCAGTGTTATTACTGTCCCCTTCCAAAACCAGGGACAGCACTGGCCACATCTTCCCACTCAAGCACAAAACGTAAGGAAGCAACTCTTTCCAGGTTAAAAATCAGAGTAATAAATACTAATGCATTTACCCATTACCTACATCGTATAACACTAAACATTTGCTTAGAATCACACATGGATATCAAGTTTAGCCCCCCCTGATTGATTATACATTTCAAATCCAGATATCCAGTACGGTGTTATAAACTTTATACATTTTCCAGTGAACGGCAAAATGAGGACAAGTGTTTTGAAGTACAGAAATAAAATAACTTGAATGCATTGACTACACTAGAAAGGCCAACTACTAAGAGGTGGACTGGGGTCTAGTCTCGTTCCAGATTGCTGGAAACTCCTACAAACTGCCACTGAACGGCCGGCTGGAAGACAAATCATGTCAGGCTCTCAGTCTCTGTTAGCTCCTCTCCCTCTCTGAAAGGCCGAGGGTGAGAACTGCAGCTACTCTCTCTTCTGCACCTCGTGGTAATAAAGCACTAAACAATCATTCTGCTCTGCACAAACTGAGTTTTCTTAGACTGCTGTTGCTCTTTTACCACTTAAATGCAGGCTGCAGTACCTGCCGACCCCTAGGCGAGAGCTAGAGGCAATGGGCCACAGCAAACACCTCTTTTGTCTTGTATGGAGAGAAGTTTCCCCTCCCTGCCCCCGTGGCACTGCCTCATCCTCCTGCTGCACCCTGTGTCTGCTTTCGGGCTGCAGTGCAACTCACCTTGATGTGGCTCCATGGCCCTAAGGCCAAATTCTGTTCTAAAAAACTCCAGCTTGCAGGACTGACTCTTTGGGGACAACCAAAGTATTAAAAAATCCACTCCAGGACGACCTTGGACAGACGAAGGTGAACAGACAGCTCCTGTCTGCCCTGTGCTGGTCAGGGCAGGCAGAACTGCCCTCCTGGCAGCCCCCGTGGTGGGGCAGGGGCTGGGTGCTCCTCACAGGGAGCCCCGTGGGGGCAGGCTGGGTCCTGGACAAGGAGAGGGATGGATGAAGGGAGCAGCACCCTGAGTGTGCGTCAGACCCTGCTGCTGAGGAAGGTGCTGCCCAGCTCGGGCTGCCATCCCCAAACAGCCCGTGCCCTGCACAGCAACACCTCCAAGAAGAGCTAAATGCTGCTCTTTCCAGGCAAACACAGAGCAGTTGCTGGATACACCACGCAGGAGATGGTTCCTTTAGCCATGAGCTTAAAAGCAAAGTCAGTTCCAGCACCCTTCCTGAACCCTGTGCCCCAGTGTGATCCCCCTGCTCTCCCTGTGCCCAGCACACTGAGCACTCAGTGCAGTGAGAACCCTGATGCAGGCCTGGACTGGGGTGAAACAGGCCAGTTCCACCCCATTCCCTTCTCTCCTTTTTGGCCATAACTGATACCCACAGATATTTCACAAGCTGTAACATGTATTTTTTTGGAGATACTCAACCACAGGTATTTATCAGCCAGAGCTTACTCCACCCCAGGAGCCTCGCCCCCATCCCAAGACTCCACTGCCCAGCAAAGCGAGCAGGAGACCCCATGAGGAGGAACCCTGGGAAGGGCTGGGAGGTCAGAGCACCGAGGAGCCTGAGTGGCAGCAGTCTGTTCAGTGTGCTGGCCACTTCTCCCTCAGCCTCTAGCACGACACACACCACACACAGACTGATGGGGGGGCTGGGCTTGGGTTTCTATCCTGGCTGTTTGGGAGGCCTTTTTTTTTTGTTTTCTGGGCTCTTCAAGAAAAACAGGCCTTTCATCCTCTGAGTCAAAGACAGGAAGCCATGGTGCATCAGCATCACCCCCAGCCCATGATCAGAAATCAACACTCTGTGACGTATTTGAGGCGACTCTTGGAACACAGGAGCCAGGCACTGGCTCTGCTCCAGCAGCACACCCAGGTACCCAGAGTGGAGCAGGGCCCCTGCTTCTAACCCAGTTTAAAAGCTATTTTAAAAATGCATTCCTACGAATAGGATCACAGCCAAGCAGACAGAGGATTTAAAATGGCAGGAAGCTGAATTTGAACAACTCAGTTTTTAAAGCAGTGAGAAACATGGGAGTTTAGAAGGCAAGGCATGAACTCCTCAGCCACAGGCCCTGAGCTGCCCGTGCACACGCCCGCTCGCTGCGCCCCGTGCCAGGATAAGGTCACCCACGGCAGTTTTGCAGGTTGCAATCACAAGGACAATGACAGAACAGCAAGTTTGAGGTAGCTGGAGTCGGAGAGCAGAGAGGAGAGCAGCAGGGAGGGAGCAGCTCTCGTGCCCAGCCCGCTCTGTGGCGGCGCGGCACCACGTGTGCTGGGTGTGTGGAGAGGCACGTGTCCCACGGGAGCGGGGTGCTGCAGCACGGGACACCCCACGGGCTGCTCTCCAGAGAGGCTGACGTGGGGAGCCCAGATGCACAACCCAGGTTTGAAGCAGTGCTGAGCTGTGGGAAGAGCCCCAGCGTGCCTGCTCTGCGGCCGTCCCGCCGACGGCTCCGTCCCAGCGCGCCGCAGGACAGCGGTGCCACTGAAGGTGTTATCACTCAGAGCTCTCTGTCCCACTTCTCCCCTAGATGCTACTGTTGGTAGGAAGGGACACACCCCCACAGCTCACCTGCTCTGGTTGGCAGCCTAGCACTCCCATTCGAGCCCCCCTCTGTGGTATTCCTGCGAGCAGGAGCAGCAGAGGCACAGAGCTCAGCTCCCCTCTTCAGGTGCAGCGACATCTTTGCCACACAAACAGTGCAGAGATGTCAGACTGCCACAGCCTGAGTCACCAGGCTTCACCCCCAGAGCCCTTGGCTAGCCTACGACAACAGGAGTTGAGCCAGCCTCTGAGCAAGTGCCAGGCAACGTGGGCATAAGGGGACAATGGCCAGGGCTGGCCAGCTGGCTCAGCCACAGGAACTGGGGCACATCTCCGACAGCTCGACCCTGCCCAAATGATCAAACTGTGTGAGACACACTCATACACACACACAATGTAGTATTTTCATCAAGAAGCTTTCTACAAATCAAGTGTTGGCATGATTACTGCTGAGAGTCTTGAAGGTGGGATGGAAATTATGGCAAGATGTTTTTCAAAGGCAGAAAGAAAAACAAAAATCGGCCTCCTGCAATTAGGTCTCTGTTGTGTAGTTGCTGTAGGAGAGAGATGGCACAGATGAGAAGTTGTTATTCCACTGTCGTCCTCCAGTGTTCTGCTGCAACTCTGCCTGCTCTTTGTATTTGCTCAGAAGATTTTTGGCTTCTTGCAGATCCTGAGAAGAGTTTTCCCCATATTCTTCTTTCAGCCACTGTCTGAACTGCAGAAATTGAACACACATACACCCTGTGATGAAGCAGTAACACCAGACTGGTGCAGAAGTAACGCTCCCTCCAGTCCTAATTTCCAGAGCCCTTAAGAGCACAAGTGATTTAAAGAGAAGCATTCCAGATGTCCCATGCCCTTCAGCAGCAGCACAGATCATGCAGGCACAGGAACACAGGCCTGAAGTCACCGAGTTCCCTCACACCCCCTACAATAACCCTGCCACAAGGGCTGGGCTGGGGAGGAACAGAGCGAGGGCACCCCCTGGGCAAGGACAGCCTGGATGTAGAGCACCCTCCTCCTGTTCCCTACCCAAGCAGGGAGATGAGTTAGTGTCGAAGTTAATGAGCTCAACTTGCCCAAGTGACAACAGGCTGCAAGAAGGCTGAAGATCTGAAAGTGAACCACTCATATGGGGCTTTTACCATAAGCCCACAAACACCAGGAGTAAAAAATGTTCTGTAGGTAGCAGGAAAGGACTTCATCCTCCAGGACAAAAAAGTCCAGGAGCTTTAGAAGCTGTAGACTAGGACCTGCACGTGGCTGACATGCATGGTGTGCTAACAGATGCACCAGGTCCAGCTGAAGGCAAGTCCAACTCTGTGTCCTGGTATGAGGGTGGCCAGCTGTAAATGCCAAGGAAAGAATTGGGCAACAGCAGGGCAGGAACTCTGAGACCTCTTCCCTGGTCACTTCCTCAGCTTCCAGCAGTTCCAGCTCAGGTCCTGTGGGAGGCTGAGGCAGTGTCTTTGTGTCTCATAGCAACAAATGAATTTTTTCACCTGTGAGATCACTTTTTGAATTACCACAGGAGATCTGGATGCCAACAAGCTCCCTAAGTACGTATTGTACAAAACCCTCCCTGTCCCTCTCTGGGACCTGCCGATGGATAGCTCCATCCCAGCATACAGGGAGGAGAGGAAACCTGGTCACTGCCCCTGTTCCACTCATCTTTATAGACCCCATCACATCCTTCACTCTCAGTTCTTTGCCAGTGGAAGAATTTGGGTACACTTAGTCAACCCCCACAGTCTTCTTGCTCTTCTCTGCAGAACCAGCAAGGAGACCCAGACCCCAACTGTTGTGACCCCATGGGGATTATATCCATTTTTCAAGCCTAAACTTCCACAACTTTGTTCTGCTTGGGGCTCATGGGCAGCCTTATCCATAAAGAGAATTTCCTAAGACTGAGGTGACCAAGACCTCAACATAGTTACTTCCTCCCATTCCTAAAAGATCAGAAGCTCCTGAGTCAAATCTGAAGCTTGTCTACCATGTAGATATTTGGAATTGGAGCAAACCATGTTGTGACCTCAGTGACTAAGCCCCTTCCTGTAGAATCATAGAATCATTCTGGCTGGAAAAGACCTTTCAGATCATCAAGTCCAACCATTCCCCCAGCCCTGCCAGGTCCCCACTGCCCCGTGTCCCTCACACCACATCTCCACGGCTTGGAGACCCCTCCAGGGGTGGGGACTCCACCACTGCCCTGGGCAGCCTGGCACAGCCCTGGGCAACCCTCCAGGGCAAGAAATTGTTCCTCAGGGACAACCTCAACCTCCCCTGGGGCAACTTGAGGCTGTTTGCTCTTGTCCTGTCCCTTGTCCCTTGGGAGCAGAGCCCGACCCTCCCTGGCTCCAGGCTCCTGTCAGGAGCTGGGCAGAGCCAGAAGGTCTCCCCTGAGCCTCCTTTGCTCCAGGCTCAGCTCCCCCAGCTCCCTCAGCTGCTCCTCACAAGACTTATTCTCTGTAAGACCAAGGTCTAAAGGAGCCCACTCCAGACAGCCCAGAAGATACCACCCTGCAGTGGCACAGCAAAACACCCGTGCTGGGGCGATCAGAAAGCAGCTCACGCCCTTGGCAGCTGGCATCACTGCACTGAGCCAGGTGTGTCCACAGACACCTGCTAAGGATGTGGTTGCTCTTCAGAGACAGTAGGAAACTACAGCCCAGCCAGGGACTACAGGTGGGTATTTCTTTTTGCAAGCTACTGCCTCCCCTCTCAGTGAAAAAAGGCTGCATGTGTGTCCATGGTGGAGGAGAAAAGAGACGTTACTGTCTTTATCAGGCTATTTGCATATAGCCTTAATTGTCACTGCTGTCAGCCCAGACCAATTAGAGTAGAAATGACTGTAAGGGAGGAAGGAGACAAGTCTGGAAAGTCCCCCTCTGACTTTTGTCTCTTAAAAATCAGTTGCTCTACCATTCGCACTAGTTCCAAACGATCCAGGAAACATTCAGTTAAATATTTTTTAAAAACCCACAAATATTTACAGTTGCAACCTGCATCATGCAAAACAAAACGTTAATTTCTAAACTCTGAGCTTTCTGCAGCAGAGTGACAGGGATGGAACCAGAAAAAAAGAAAACAAACCAACATCCTTTGCCTGGTGTATTTTGTTTTCCGATTTTGGTTTGCCTCTGTTGTTGTTGTTGTTGATTTTTAATAAGCCCAGCAGGCACCAAAGCCCAGAGAACAGCAACGTGCTGAGCAATGGAAAAGGGAGGGGACGGCCAGAGGAGGATGGTAACACAAGTGGAAGTCACCAGTCACCCACGGGGAGCAGGTCTTTTGCGTGGGATGGTTCTTTTTAGGGGTAAGAAACTGATCTTTGTTTTTATGAAAACCACTATGCAGTCTCACCGTGCCCTCAGTTCTCCCAGCCCTACAAAGCCTTCCAGAGCTAAGGAGAAAAAAAGGGTCAGATCTGAGACTGTTCTACACATCAGAAAATAATTTATGAAGTCCCAGCCACAGAAGGTGTGGGGAACAGGACATGTAAGTCATAGTGAGAATCTGGTTTAACTCCTGGATAGCAAAGACTTCTGATGAGGATTTTTTTCTCTCTTACTCTTCCAAATGAAGGTGTTGGGGGAAAATTCATTATTCTGGTACTTCGAGGTTGCTGGATTCTGAGCAACTCACTCTTTAGTTTTCTCCCCTCTAAAGGTGTCAGTCTTGTATTGTCTTAGCACACAGGAAGCAATCACTGGATGGAGAGCACAGTTAGGCAGGAAGGGTTGAGATGTTCTGCTTCATCTTCTCCCACCCAGCATCCCCCAGCACCTCCAGTTCTATCTGCACCTCCCCAGTGCAGCAGGCACGGCCAAGAAGCCCCTCCCTCAGATCAAACCCAGGGAGTTAGACAAACCACCCAATCCTCAGGACAATGAGCAGTAACCCAGGGTCTGAGGCTCGGGGTCGTGTTTCCCAGCTCACCTGTCTGCAGCTCACCTACCTGGTCAACGTCGTGCTTCTCAAAGTCTTGCAGCTGCCTCTGGAAGCCCATGTTGGGGTTGGCACAGGACCTGGCGGCGCGCACGACGGACAGGGCGTCCTCCCAGCCCAGGTCTGTGATGGCCATGATGTAGGCAACCACCAGCGTCACGCTCCGGGACACCCCTGCCAGGCTGCAGCAAGAGCAGGGCAGGACATTAAAGCAGTGCTGCCCTTCATCTCTCACAGTTAAAAACATCCCTTCCCAGCATCTCAGCAGCCCGCTGTGTTGCTCGCCACCAGGAGGAAATATTGCAGTGTTTAGTGGAAAAGGTTTTGGTGCTGCTTTTGGACACACATCAGAACAAATCTATGATGAGACTGAGAAAGTGGGTTCCGAGTGGCAGTTCATATGAAGAAATCAGTATTAAGTCTTCAAAAAACCAGGGGACAGCATGTATGTTCTAAGTGAGATTTGGTTTTAATAAGCTAGGAATAAATCACCCACTTTCTTCTGTCTGTACAGACCAGAGCAGTGAAATAAGACTGTTCCCTCTCCACCAAGAATAAAGGCTTCAACTTCATGGGGCTGAAATGAACTTTAACTGCACTGCTGAAGTACACATCTGGTTGTTTGAGCTCTTTTCCTCCTTCAGCTATCCATGCACTGTGCAGCTTCAGCTCTCAGGACTCCAGTTTCCCCACGTGGAACACTGGGATCCAGTAAGAATCATTCACTACTGCTGGTTTGACAGTGCCTGACCAAAACCTCCCAACTGTTCCTGTTGTGAGCATAGGGAATGTGTTTGAGTTACAGCTATACCAGACTCTCCCACTTGGCATTTTGAGAATATTTTATGGTTTTGAAATGCTTCGCAAATTTAAATGCGTGTTTTTCAAAACTCTCGTCAGAATTCAGACAAATTATCCCTGTTTTACATACATGGAGACTGATCTGATGACTCGTGCACAGCCCTGTCATGAGTCAGTGGCAAGCTGAGGATCTGTGCTCAGGGCCTGTGTACAAGTCCAGTGTGCAGATCACGAGATGACTCTGATTCCAGACAGAGACTCAGATATGTCACTTGGACATACAGCACAAAGACTGCAACCAGTAGCAGAGAGCAAGAAAAAACCCAAGGTGGGATTTCCTTCTGTTCTCTGCAGTCTGAGGAGCCTCTCTCCAATCACAGACTTGCTATTAACAAATGCAACATTTGAATGCTTCAGTAGTTTAAAAAAAAAAAAAGAGAAAAAAAAAAAATCAATCTCTGTTCAGAGGAAAATTTTTTAAACGACTCTGAAGTCACCAAAATAGCTGTTAGAGAAACTAATTACATTTTAGGATTATGAAAATCATCTTTAAAACTACACTGATTAGAATAATGGGAAATAAATAGTCCATCTCTTGTTGATCCATCTCTAATCAAATCAATCCTACAGAAAGGTTTGATAAGAAGAGAAGGTCGAGAAGGATTTCTTGGGCTCCTTTTGTCTCCAGGCAGCTGCTCGCCCCAGTGACTCAAAAGTCCTGGCACGAGGCTGTCACAGCATTGGCAAATCTTTTGGGGCTCTTCAAATAAAGGGGCATTTCAGCCCAAGAGGACTTTGCTATCAAATGGAGATGGATGCTAATTGCTCGTTAAGATGATGCAGGTCCAAACCAAGGCAGAGGGCTGAAGAGAGGAGTCCCAGCACGTGCAGGACGTACCAGTGCACGAGGCAGCCCTCGCCCGCCAGCCGGCACTCGTGGATGAATTTGATGCTCTCTCTGAAATGCCTTGCCCTGAAAACAGAAGCAGAAGGGGAATAAGGAAAGTGCTCTGTTTAGTAAAATCACTACTTAGAAAGAGAGAAACGTATCCGAAAGCTCACTGAACGCTGCTTCTAGGCTTTAGAGCTGCATGCAGGTCCTAGAGGTAAAAGCTGCTGTCTGCCAGGGAAACCCAGGGCTCACTCACGTAGTTGTGCTGCACTCCCCTGAAGAAGAAACTGGTACTGTGGCTACTACAGTGTGCTGAACATCAACAAACACCTCCTTCTGATGACTGTCAAGTCTGTACTTCAGTTTGTGTCCCCTTTAAACTGGCAACTTGACCCTGTGTATGCTCAGACGTCAGGTGAAACTCAGCAAGAGGACAGGAGGGGTTCTCCAGGTGGACTCTCTCTCCCCCAGAGCCACCCACAACCCGCTGCCTGAATTTCCACTGAACTTTGACCTCACCTCCTCCCTCAAACATTAGGACACATCTAAAAGTTCCGACTTTCTCCCTGGCAACATGAACTCTCTCCCTTTTGTCCCTGCTATGAAAAATCTCTCAGTTTAAGCCCTGCTTTCTTCCTGGATGGCTCCTGCAGTTGAAACTCGCCGCGTGTGCAGCACAGGCAGAGGACAGAGCTCCTGGGGGGACAGGCAGCACCAGGTCTGTCGGCAGAGACCAACCTGAAAGCTGCACTCGGCACCCATGAAACACAACGTCCTGTCTTCAAGATGTTTCCCCTCTCAGGGCCAATGTCACACCGCAAGGGTGAGAGAACAAACCTCAGCTGGGCACCAGCAGCCACACCACACCCAGGAATGCCCACACAAAAGGAAGTTCCCTTCCTGCCCAGCCGCGCAGCCGCCGGCACATCGGCACTCAGGCCACGGAGGAGGACAGTGGGGATGCAGCAGGGTGACAGTGCCTGTGGAACTTGCAAAGGCAGTGATGGCGAAGCTGACACAGCCAAAAAGAGGGATCCTGAACGCCAGGACTCATCTCCAAGGCAGTTCTTGCATCCCTGGATGCCACGTGGAGAACGCAGCTGAAGAGGACTCCAGTGACTTACTGGGAATCCTCGAGGGCTGGTGTGATCCTGTGGGTCAGGACAGCACCTCACCCTGGGGTCTGGTTCTCAGGAAACCAGTCGAGTATGTGGGGTGAGGGAAGAAGAGGGACAAAGCCTTACAAACACACTCCTCCTCAGACTGCCACCCCAAAACACTTCCAATGGGCGGGTTCTAAAACACCCTGGAGCTCAGCTCTGCCCGTGGGACACCAGCAGCTTCACACAAATGAACCCAGAGGACAAACGAGACGTTGGGGGGTGTGCACCAGAGGCATTGCCACTGCACAGCAAAGGAGCACTCTGAGACCAAACAGACTGAGCCAGGTGAAACTTGGTTAGGGCTGGACTGACAACATCCCAATCTCCTTGTACACCCATCTTTTCTCTTTCTCTCTAGAAAATCTGGCCAACAGCACAGCTCCAGGCACCAGTGAATTCACCTCAGTAGTCTAGCACATGTTTTGGTTGAACACTCCAATGCTTTGGTTTCAAAAGTACCCATGAATGAGCGTAACACTCTTGCAAGGCACTGAACACAGCTAGCAGTGAACTCCATCCACTCAGTTTTATCTGCCCTGCCTTATAGCTGGCACTGCTGGAAGACTCTCAGGTGTGTTCACAGGCACTCGTGGAAACAAAAAGAGAAATGGGCTAGCTTAGAAGGAGTGCTGCTCAGCAGGAGCACAGCCTCCCCTCACCCCGAGTCAGGGAACACGGGCAGTGTACAACCCATTGGTGTCAGGGCCTCCAGCACACACAGGGGCCTAAACTCAATTTAAAAGTTATGGTACAAGCCATATTTACATAAAAACTAAGGAGGGGGGCCAGTAGTTGGCTGTGAGGCAAGTGCCAGACACAAAGAAGAATGGCAAGTCTTACACTAACCACAGAACAATTGATTATCATCTCTCACAGGAAAGCACTTGACAAATGTGTTGATTTGCAGCTTATTTGTCAGACTGAACAGTTACTTCAAACAATTTATTACATGGTATCTGGCTTTTACATCTCCCAGCTTAACGTGGGTCCTGAACTGCATCATCTTCATGGTGGGAAAACACCAGAGGCAGGAGAGCCAGCAGAGTGCCCCCACCAGCACCCTGCAGCAGTGACCTGAGCTCACACATCAGCACGCTGGGTAACCCAGAGCCAGGCTGAGGGCAGGGCTGTGGCACCAGACCTGGCTACTCCTTCATCCCTGCTCAGGCTCACACGAACATGATAAAGGTCAAAAAACCATCCCAATCAGATAGGAAGAAGCCTCTTGATGTTCCTTTCCCTTGGCAATGTAACTGCAACCAAGATCCACCCACATTTATTTTCTTAATAAGTTATGTGGCTTTTGTATCATCCCTGCTCACAGCCTGGCCACTGGAGGCCAGTTCCTCAGAAGCACAGGGCCTCAGAGCATTAGCTGGAACAGGACAGGAAGGGAACACTCGATTTCTACGGAATTAACTTCTTAGCAGCAGGTTCTTTAGCAGATAACATTTCTGGAGAAGTCAGTGGCCCAAAGTAAAATTCTCACAGTCCAGGGGAAACACTCATTTAACACTTAGGAAGGACTTCAAGTCTCAAGAGCAACCACTTGATTCCCCTGCTTGGCAGGGGCAGAACACAGGAGTGGAAGCAAGTGTCTGGGGCACACTGGTGAACACTCACACGTCGCCAGGGGACTCCCTGCTGCAGCTCCCTGGCAGTTCATTCCTCTGAGAAGTAAGCACCACTGGACAAGCTTACTAGGACTCAGTGTGCATTAGACATGTAAGAAACCAGCAGCTTCCCTCACAAAAATGGAGCTGAAGTGAATTAAGAGCTTACAGCCCAAAATTCACCTTTCAGTGGTACCTTATCAACCTGCCAGCAGCTGCAGAGTAGCAGCAAAGCTCCTGAGCAGCTTGCTGTTGGGAGACAGGAGACAGCAGCATGTACCTGTCAGTCGTGCCTGTCACCCAACACCAAGAAAATCCAACGACCTGCAGCACAGGATGCTGCTTTTTTTGTCCCCTGCCACCAGCAGAATTCCCTCCTGTGGAAGAAGAGGGCAGATGCCCGAGGCCGTTGCAGGGGGGCTGACTGCCCGTGCTGCTGTCCAGCTCTCCCCTCCCCAGGGGGCTCAGGGGGTCAGGTCCCCACGGGGGGCAGGGGCAGAGGCTGTGTGTGCAGAGCAAACAAGCTGCTGCTCCCCAGCCCCACGACTTCATTCTGCTTGAAGATCTGGAGCACATAAAGCAAAAAAAAATCGGTTACTCATCAAGTTTTATTTTAAGTGTTCCAGTGTCTCAGTATTAGAAGGAATGACGTTTGCTTGCAGCCACCTGATACCAAAGCAAGTATTTTAGATGCCTGCAGCATAACAGAAACAATACTCATGCAAATATTGTATCTTCTTACTGAAGCTTCAAGAGCCTTGGTACTGCGCCAGACAGCTCAAGCACCAGCGGTGGTTTTTCAGTATAACTCCTTGAGATTTAATAAACAGGGAGGGGCTGGACTGCACATTAATTAATATTCATCACAAATGCCATTGATCCAGATCTCTGCTAACAAAGGAAGAGGATTTGCACAACGTTTTCAGGGATGCTACAGATCTCACAATGCCACCATGCAATTACTATGACATGTGAATGTTTCCTTTTAATCTCTTTTTTTTTTGTCCTTCCCCAAATGACTTTTCTTTTACATTTATTTTTATTTAAATGTAAGGCCACAAGAGCTGTCCATGACAAAGGCAGTTAGGTGTCAGTCTTTTCATTACAGACCTGTCCTGAAATTCAGGGGTTTGGAGTGGGTTTTGTTGTGAGTTGAGGGGTGGTGGGATTTTTTTTTCCCCCCTTCCCTTAAAAACACCCCAAAATGCAGAATGAAAAGGCAAATCATCACACAAATGCCACGCTGGAATCTTTCTAGGGTATGAGAAACACATAGTCTAAAAATACCCCCCGAAAGCACGAGCCAGAGTATTGCTGTGATGTGAGAGAAGAGCAGTGCTGCTCTTCCTTCCGCACCCACGGGCCCCTGGCAGCCACCCGGGGCTCTGTAAGACTTGGTTGCAGAATGTGGCTGAAACCCCCCTCACCCCTCCCCACATAAACAGGGAGCTCTAGAAGAAAGAGTTGGTCACCATCCAAATTCTCTTACAAAACCTGTTTTGATTTCTCTTCGGAATCAAGACGCGCTTCGCTCAATGGTTCAAAACAGTCAGCGAGAGTTTAATGACTGCTAGTGGAGAGGAGAGGCTGGGACACCCTGGTTTCAGTACATACCTCCTCAAGGCAGGAGTCCCTGGAGGGCACAAACTCCCTGTCACCTGTGCCAGCCTACAGCTAAGAGCAGCAGAGCCTTCTGAGGCAGGGTCAAGAAGTCCCGAGCCGATCGTTGCAGGGGCAGTTTGCAAACTTCAGCTCAAAGTCCCCGTGTGAGGAATTTATTTCAACCCTTGAAGCACAAGGCTTCAGACCTCTCTCAAATATTCTTTTTGTAATGGCTGGAGACTGCAGTAACAAAAAAAAAAAACCACCAGCTAAGCAAAAAGATTTACAAAAACAATGGCTAGAATCAGCTGGGACTACCTCAGGAGCAGACTCCCTGTGAATTCCTGAAGTTTAAGGCCATAATTGCAGTGTTTCCATACTGACCCTCCTCCAAACCCTTGCACACAAAAAGCAGGGTCTGAACTGAAGTGGCTGGAATCAAGTGCTACTGTGTTTTCTTAACAGATTAAAAACCACATTTGTGTAATGCTTGTAAGAGAACTGGATCTTTCAGCCCAGGGTAAAACAGGGATCATGGTACTGAGGGATTCCTGTGATTTATTTTTAAAGAAAACTTACAAGTTCTGGGAGGGTGAGTCAGCAGCTGGAATGCACAGATACTTCATTCCCTGTGGAAAGAAGCAAAAAGGAATGAGAAGAAAACATCCAGGTGACACACATTTACCCAGCACTGTGCCAGTGCTGCTCCAGGCTGGTGCAGCCCCGCTGGCTCCGAGGACAACACCACTACCCAGACAAGCAGAGATCATCTCCCACAGCCAGATTTTAACCCCCTGTTTTCACATCTGCCTTGCTGCCAGGACACCAGCACACAGCTTAGTCATGCTTATCCCAAGGCCCAATGGCAAGCTCTGTAAAACAGAAGCAGCTTTACTGAGAAGGTGTAGACCTCTTTTCCACATCCCATTCTCCTCACATTTCTAGCAGAACTCGGTTGCATCTTCTCTCATCCCTCTAAACAGATGCTACAAACTAAAGCTGTGATAATCAATTTCTTTTTGATCCCATCCAACCAGTTTTCTTTACCTAGCTGATAAGCCAAACAAATGGCATTTCAGAGGAGAAACGTGTCTGTAGGATGGGGTTGGGCTTTTATTTTTGGGAAACTTCAAGAAGGACAACCGTTAAACCCACGTTTTTCTTCCAGTTAGCCTCACTTTCTCAGTCAGGCATCATAATAAGTTACAAGATCAATTAGGGAAGTTAGATAACCATTTCTGATGCATTAAAAATGTTCACGGGTGTATTTAAAACAACACTATAATCATACACTGCTGCTTTGCATTGTCACCACTTACTTTAACTGTCATTTTCTTTTCAAAGCTTATTTTGCTCCCGTGACTGTAAAGAACATTTCTGAAAGCATATTTAGCTAACCTCACAAACAGGACTTCCAAGAATATAGGTTGCAGCTCAGACACAAAACACCCAAATCATTCACTGGCAGTCTTTTGACCTATCTCAGATGCAGAGTTATGAATTTTTCAGAGGTACTTTGAAAGATAAGGGTTCACATGCACCTTAGTTTGTCCTTCTGTAACAACACAAACCCCTGTAATAACCCTGCATGTTCAGCAACCCACTGGGAGTCACACACCCATCTAGGTCTGTAAGGGATCCTTTGCCAACAAGGTGGAACAATGTGCATCTACCAGCATTTCATTTGGGGTAGGGGGTGAACAGTTCACAGCTCAGCTGTGGTGGCTGCCTGAGGCAGCACCTTCTCCAGCACCCCCTGTGCTCTGCTGACCCAGGAACTCCTCTGTCATCTCCCCTACACCACTGACAGCCTCGTGGCTGCAGAAGGGGGAACCAGGACAGCTCCACAGCCTTGAGCTGATCCACCAGCCTGCACCAACACGTCCACTGACAGGTGACATAGCAATAACACACTGACAGGCTGCTACGCCAGGGATGAGAATTATATTGTGACAGATTAATTGTGGTAACGAGCATCTTGGGTGACGCATCTGAGAGGTTTATCTTGGACACTAGTACTGCTCCAAGTGAGTCACTCCAGTAGAACGAGGGCCTGTGACCTGAAAGCAAATTTACATGCTCTTCTTCCCCTCACCCTCTGGCCAGCTCCATGCCCCCAGTGCAGCCCCACGCCGAGGGAGAGGCAGGGAGGG